CCCCCCTCCTCCCTCCCGCTGTAACCCCCTCAGGTAACTCTCCACTTTACTGCGCTGAAGCCGAGCCATCATACACAATCATTAAGAACGGTGTTGTTGAACATCTAATTACATCTCTCTGTTTACGGCAGCTCTCTCATTGCCATCATGAGGAAATCTTCCAAGGGAGGTAAAGGACCCCCCAAACTAGAGCAAGCCCCAGGTGATTGTACCTACAGTCAGAACAGTGTATTTTTATTCTGTTGCCCTATTATTAATATCTGGACAAACACATTCTCTTTCGATGCAGTAAATGAAGCAGTGGACGATGTCAAAGTCAAAGCTGTCAATGAAATGATGGAGAGAATTAAACACGGCGTGGTTCTCAGGCCTGTGAAGAGTCAGGACACTAAGGTGAGGTTTTGAACCCGGACCAAGATTCATAGTTTAATTGCCTATTCCCTATATGAGTTTTGAGTTTGAGTCAAATTGGCCACACCCCACAGGATGTTGAATTGGAATGACAGGAAGAGGAATTTACTGTGTCACAATTCAAAAAAATACAACACAGTCACATAGCATAGTGTTTTAATTTAGCCAAAACAACTAAACTGGTGAGAAAAAAATAAATTAAGGTTTAAGGTTTCCATTTTTGAACCTGCTTTGTGTTGTTTGGCTCTGTTTTGAAGACTTTGAGGTCAATTTGAGCATTCTATGAAATTGAGTGTTTTCCCTTCATGGTCTATAAAATAAATGTTAATTTTTTTAATATAATGAAATTTGTATAGACTAAATACAAATATAGTTCAATGTCATTTCAAACATTTACACTACCGCTCAAAGGTTTATGTCGGTGAGATTTTTTTATTTATTTATTTGTGTGTTTGAAAGAAGACTCTTATGCTCACCAAGGCTGAATTTATCAGTAACAACAGAAATATTGTGAAATATTATTACAGTTTCAAATAACTGTATTCTAATTGAATATATTGTAAAATGTAATTTATTGCTGTGATCAAAGCTGAATTTTCAGCATCAGTACTCCAGTCTTCAGTGTCACATGATCATTCGGAAATCATTAGAATTTGATGATTTGCTGCTAAAAAAAAACATGTCTTATTATTTCCAGTGTTGAAAGCAATTGCGATGATTCATATTTCTCAAAAGAACAGCATTTATTTGAAATATAAATCTTTTGTAACATTATAAATGTCACGTTTGATGAATTATTGTTATTGTAGTCATATGCTGTGTGTTTGATAACATTGGTAGTTCATGCTGTAAAATAAACATATCATTAAAAAGTCAAACGAAAGCACTACTGTTCAATTCATTTGAATTTCAGTGATTCTAATTTCCAATTTAATGATCCTTTCTTCAATTCAAATTACACTTCTGTATGTTTGCACCTCAGTTTCAAGAAATGAATTGGAATTTAAAAGGAATTCTCACTCTGTTCTAAACGCTGCACCTGTAACACCCTCACATTCTTACATTGGTTATGAATATATTGTGTATTATGTGTGCACTGATCGATGATCTGTTTTCTCTACTCTGTAACATCATCTGCTGACCTCGTCGTTGCAGAGATTTGGCACAAAGGTATGTTTAAATCACACATATTGTTTACAGTGTTTACCAACAATTATTACACTGCTCCGACCGCTCTGTTACAATCAAAGCAAACTCAGCACCATTTTGTCAATATAAAGACCCTGCAGAAATGGTTCATAGCATATAGTCATCCTCCCTGAGGAAGGGCCGGGTCATTAAAGCATTTTGTGCATAGACAGTTGATGGGCTGAGAAGGGATCCATCTTGTTTAAGTCATTGATGGGCGAAACCACCGAGAGGGGCTGTATAACTTCTGATCAATAGCTATAGTCCTGACTTTAGAGATCGCCTGCTGCCCATTATGCTGCATACACAGATTGTCTTTTGTTTTTGGCTTTCAGACATAAACTTAAAAACACCACATGCTGTAGCTGCTTGTTAGTAATTAAAGTTTTTGTAATGTTTCTATATCTATATCACCAGTGTTATTTGAGTAGTATTTAATAATATTTAGAATTAGCTTTTTTATATTTGAATTTTAGCGTATGTTATGATTTTTGTTATGTGTTTTTGTCATTTATATTATTTTTCTTATAATATTTCTGTTTATTTTTTATTTTATTTTAGTAATTTTACTACAACGTGAATACAACATATTTATTTCAGTTACTTGACAACCCTAGTGAAAAATAAACATACTTAAATGTATTTGAAATACATTTGCTTCATGCTAAGTATACTACAAGTACATTTTTATATTTATGTACTTAATAAAATGTCCTGCAATTGTACTTTTAGTATACTAAACAGGTATACTTAAAGTCTGCTAAATTGGAACACAACTAATTTTGTACTTGATGCACTTTAATTGTTCAGAAGTAGTGCTGGAGTACTAATAAAGACACACTGAAGTATATTTGATTGTGCAAAAGTGGAACTATTGCAAGTATACTTCAGGTACACTTTAAATATCATGCATTTAAAGTCTGATATTATTCAAAGATCATACAATCCTCATCAAAAGTGACATTAAAACACATTTTACACTTAATATTAAGAAAAGTGCATTGTGAACAAATAATAAGCCAGGTAAAGTTGAATTATATTTTTATATCAGTAAGTCTCGAGTTATCTGTCAGTAAATATGTTAATAGATTTGAACTATACTTTGTATGAAATAAATGTATTTTAAATATATCACTTTTTTTCTAGGGAAGGCAACATTTCTCATTTTAGTTTGCAAGTTTAAGTTTTTAACCTAAAATATAATAACAATAATAAATAATAATATATATTATTTCAGCTTTATTTCAATTACCAGAACATTTTCAATATAATGTGATGATTTGCTGCTCAAGAAACATTTATTATTAATAATGTTGAAAACAGTTGTGATGATTAATATTTTTGCTCAAACCATGATACATTTTATGAACAGAAAGCTCAAAAGAACAACATTTATTTAAAATAGAAATATTTTGTAACATTATAAATGTGTTTACTTTCACCTTTGTTTAATTATTATTATTGAGTGCCTCATAAGCTGTGTGTATGATTATATAGATAATTCATGCTGTAAAAATAAACATTATTAAAAAGCAAAACTAAAGCAACACTGTTTAATTAATTAGACTTCCAGTCATTCCAATTAAATTATACTTTTTAAATTCAGATTACACTTCTGCATGATTGCAACTCAATTTCAAAAACTGAATTGAAACAAAATTCTGATTCAGTTCTATTTATTTCATTTACTTGGCATGGCAACATTTCTATATTTAGTTTTTCAAGTTTTTAATCTAATATTTATATAATATTTTAGTTTTATTTCAATCACTAGCGCATTTTTTGTCGTTTTAGTTAACAGTAACACCACTAAAAATCATGTTATTTGCTAAATATTTTATGATTTGGTCATAAAATGTAACTTCACTTTGTTCCTGACCCACAGCAGCCGAGCCCAGTGGCAGCAGCAGCAGCAGCAGCAGCAGCAGTGGAGGAAAAGCACCAGGAAAGTGCAATGGAAGAGCTGAAAGGCATTCTGGTAGGCTTTCTGATTAACAGTTGCATGCCATTCAGTCACCTGATTTTGATTATGAAGCCAGCTATTGATCCACAGATTACAGAAAATTATCCATTTTCTGATTTTTGAAAGAAAAAAAAAACTGTTAAATGATGATGATAATCTGTCTAAATAAAATAAATAAAACATACATTTGCTCAGAAATGCCAGATTGCAAACTTAGCACTGAAACTTCATTCATGAAATTCTCTTTTCTTTCTGAATCTATAGGAGACGGTGAAGAAGAGTCCCAGTCGTGGTTTCCAGGAAGTAGTTCATGCTAAAAAGGACAGTGAACTGGAAGTAATTCTGAGGAGGAGGCGCAAACAGGCCTGTGATCTGGACACAGAAGGCAAGAGGATAAACTCTACCCTTCAAGACTATATGAAACACATACATGCACTGTGTATTTACTATTTAAGCAGGAAGTGTGAAACTTAATCAAGGGGCTTTTAAAATAGATTGCAGGTTTTAGTTCACAACCATGAACCTGCTACTTTCTATTGCTAGTCAGAGAATTATGTTTGGGCAAAATGAGTCAAAATTGGATTCAAGATTATTGAAAAAACCCTAAGCAACTGGATTGAATAATGAGCATCTCTCATCTGTTGCTCTGTAGATGATGGGCAGCTGAGTAAAGTCTCCTCATCAAACAGCCTGAACGGCCGACACAGTTCTGACTCTGGCAAAGACACAGAAGGGCCGGGAAGCAGCTCTCTGTCGGGCAGCGAGCGCGGATCAAGAACCAGCTCAGACTCGGGCCGAGAGCCAGCCGTGGCTCGACAGAGCTCCGATTCTGGCATGGAGTCCAAAGGAGCCGCTCAGACAGACAGTGTCTGCAGATCTCTCTCTGAGAAAGAGTCCGCTGAACCAGTCACCAACGGGTGCTATTCAAGGTAAGGTTACGCTACGCTACTTGTTTGTTCGGCAGTGAACCACAATAAATCCTTTAAAGGAGTAGTTCTTCCAAAAAGGATGTCCTTACCCTCAGGCAATCCAAGATGTAGATGAGTTTGTTTCTTCATCAGAACAGATTTGGAGAAATGTAGCATTCCATCACTTGCTCACCAACGGATCCTCTGCAGTGAATGGGTGCCGTCAGAATGGGAGTCCAAACAGCTGATACAAACATCACAATAATCCACAAGTAATCCACACTAGGGCAGATGGCTCAAGATCGACGATGTAGTATTTGGTTTCCCAACGAGGTCCATCGCCCAACACAAAATTAATTTGCTGAATGAAGAATGAACTGTATTTTCCTGC